ACCAGCTTCAGAGTGGCTCTACATTAACAAGGCTGACTCCATTGACGACAATAAAGGCAAAAAGGAGCAATGGTTAAACAATTACATTTGCTATTATTCTCAAATGACTTTGTTCATGGCTCTGATTCAAAAGATTCTCAACTTATTACTTGATTTCTTTATAGCTCACATGTGAAATAAAAATATCTCTAGAAAACAGTGACAAAAGCACTGTAGACGGATGTCCGGGCATTTGTTTCTGTCCACCCAAGCAATCCTTCAGCCAGTGCTTTCTGAAGTGGCTCTTGGCCTTTGTGTGTGTGGTGCAGTGCTGAGAACACACAGGCACCACTTCCATCTTAAAACAGGTACAGTTCAATGCACACAGGAAGTCAGTGGGGACACAGAAATCTGGCCCCATCCTTCCTTGGGCTTGGGAAGGATTAACATAAAACCTTAGTTTTGAGGACAACACAGAAGACTTTTGCTTTTGAATCGGGGTGAGTAGATCTGAAGTCGCTGATGGCCCCTACAAACAGGAAGAAACAGTGGACAACAGACGGAACCCATAACTGAATGCATGACTTGGTAAGGAGCCAGAGTAGAAACATGAGGCAATGAAGAAAGAAACCCAGGACTCGGTCCACCCAGGCACTTGTGCCTTTTTTCCCTTGTCTCATTGATGAATTCTGGGTAGACACTCTGGAGGTTCAAAGAAGCTGAGTAGTTTTTGCACATATGTGTGGGCTAGAAGAAAAACAAGTGGAGGGACCAGCAGTTGGCATAATGGCTATGTCGCTGGACTCCCATGTGTTCAAATGCGGTTTGAGTCCCGGACCTGGTGGCTTAAACTCACGCTGGGTGTGTGTGTGTGTGGTGTGTGTGGGTGTGCCCAAGATTCAAAGAGGAAAATGGAGAAGGGATTGCAGTATGGCCATCCCCCCTGGGGAGTGATTCCGTTTCTCATCTCTGTCTTTCCGGCGAGGGCATGCACCCTGTAGCAAAAAAAAAAAAAAAAAAAAAAAAAAAAAAAAAAAAAAAAAGGGGAAAAAGGGGAGTTAAGGTCTGTCAAGAAGGTGATCCACGTGAAACCTACACTATTTGATTGGGACCAAGAATTCCACACTAGGGATAAGATGGAGAGAAGACATTCTGGCTTTTGTTGGGACTGAGCCTGGAGTAAAGGCTGGATTAAGGTGATCCAGTATTGCTAAGGCATCTACCATGTGCCAGAAGCGAACTCTCAACTTTTCTGCAGCAAGATCGCAGCATATCAGGGCTCCACTTTTCTCTAAATACTGTCCACTCAATGTCTGGTGTTGAATAGAAAATAACACAATAACTAGCAAGACAGTGCAATAGAATATGATCAAAACCTAAATGACTATAGAAATGGACTCAGAGGGCATCCAGATATAAGATACAGAAGGAAGCAATGCTGGTATCAATGTCTCCACTGCCCCCAAAATAATTACAAACAAAAGGGTATGGGCCAGCACTGTGTTACAGCAGTAATGCACCACTAAAGAGGAGCTGGGACTCAGCAGTCACATCATTTTGAATTTTAGACTGAAACGTGTCAGGCTTACCCACAAATGCCCAAGAACTGATGGACAGAATGAAAGGAATCATTGTATGACCAGACTCTCTTGAGTTGAGTGTGCTCTTTTCCCTTTCTCTTTCTCTCTTATTTATTTATTTACTTATTTATTTATTTTTTGAGAGAGATCTTTTTGCTATAGAGTGTGTGTCCTCCATGGAGAGACAGAGAGAAACAGAGAGACAGAAAGCAATATCTTACTCCCCAAGGAGGATGGCCATGCTGCAATCTCTGCTCATCCATTCTCCTCTTAGGATTTTGGGAACTCACACATGCACATAAACCCTGTGAATTTTAGGCTACCAGGTCCAAGACTCGAACTGCAGATGGCTATGTGGGATTCCAGCAATGTAACCATTGTGACATCTGCTGGCCCTTTATCTCCCTCTCTGTCTCTGTCTCTCTGTCTACGTGCATATGTTCCATTATGAATGAAGAAAAAGAATGTAAGACAGCCATTTAGACAGAAAAGAAAAATGTCAATTACAGAAACCAAGGCAAGGAGGGTGACCACAATATTGTACTAAGTGAATCT